GTGTTTAGGGTTGGCCTAGTGCCCATGGAGATCTGCTCAGTGTCCTCCAGAGCACTTACTTTCATGTTTTGACTCTTTGACCCCCATGTCACTCCTATCCTTGTTTTTCCCTTAGTTGTCCCATGAAATCAGTTGTTCCATTCATGCCTGAGCCCTCATATAGTGGGGGCTACTAGTTTACTGGGTGGGCCTTGGAGCCCACAGCCATTTTGAATGGACAAATAGACAGGAGCTTTTGGGGCCTGGCCAATTGGTACCTACCCCTTGTGCCAGCTGGACTGCTGAAACAGCCCTGACTTCCCTGCATCCTCTACCCACTGCAGCAGTCTGGCAGTCAGGGCTGCTGCCTGGCAGGTACACAGCAGGTCACAGCCAGACCCAGATGGGGACTGTACAGCCAGTAGAGGCATCTGCGCCTCTGGACCAGCTGCCAATGGGCCGTGGCTGTAGAGTTCACCTTTGTGTGGCACTACTGCCATGTGTTCCCCTGCCCAGCCATCTGGACAGCTATCATCTGGAAGATGTTCCCGGTGTGGTAGCCTGCTTTGAATTGTCAAGGCATGTCCTCCTGGCTCAATTGTCCAGGAAGCCAGCCCCCTCCAGCTGGGTCCAAGATGCCAGCTCTGAGCAGGCTCCTTTAGCTGCATCCTGCCACTTGCCTTCCTAGCAGGAATCTTGGTGTTCCCTATTTGAAAACTGAAAAATCCCTGATAAAAAAAATCCAGAAGTCACTCTGTAAAATACCCCAAAATCCATGTTCCTCCACAATTAAAACAAAAGACATATACCACCCCCACTTGCTCCCCCAACCCAATCCTCTGCTGGCTTCTGTAGCTCCCCTGATGGCTAACCCACCTGGCCCCAGCCTTGTAGCACTTTAAAAAAACAAACAAAAAACCCCGCACTCACCGGCAGTAGCAGCTTCTGTCAGGGTCACTGGGGCCTCATGGCAGAGCCCCCTCCCACAGCAGGGGTAGTGGGGGCCTGGCACCTGCACTGCCACTGCCCCGTTGCATGGGTGCAGTCCAGGTTGCAGGACACCACATTGCTCCATGTACTCTCAGGCAGCTGGAGCCACTCGGGCTGAGTGGTGCCAGACCCAGGTGACATCTGCAGTGGCCCCAGCTGCTCAATAGCGCGCAGAACTGTGTGGTGCCCTGCCAACCCATGCCACACCCACATGATGAGGCAGTGCGGGTACCAGGCTTCCAGGACTGGTCCTTGCTGCCCCCTGCTGTGCAGGGTGGCTCTGACATGAGGCCCCAGTGACCCCAACAGCAGCTGCTGCTGGTGAGTGTGGGGCTTTTTTCTTTTTTTTCATGGGGATGAGTGAGGCAGCCATTGGGGTGGGGCTAGGGGAGCAGGCAGGAGGTGAGGTTGGGTGGGGCAGTGGTTGTGGTTGTGGGGCTTGGGGGCAGGCTGGGGATATGGCTGGGTGGGGCAGTGATCCAGGGGGCTTGGGGAGTGGGCAGGGGGTGGGACCAGCTGCGGCCCCCATGGTCCCCTCCACCAGTCCCTGCCCGCCCCTGCTACTTACCCGCACGGGCCCCAGGTCCAGCTTTCTGTGGCTGGCACACTGGGCAGGCAGCATGCTTCAGCACTTGGGCGAGGACCTACCATAGAGACCCTCTGATTGGTTACCTCTGTGGAGGACCCGAGCCTCCAGTTTCCCTGCATTTTTCCCCCCAAGGGTTTTTTTGTTTTTTTGTTTTTTTTGACCCCTGGATATTCAGGGGTCTAATTTTGCCCCCGCACTACAAATTTGCAGTGCGGGGAACATTTTTTTTGTTCCCACACATGCCTCTTGCAGCACCTGAAAGGGCTTTGAGTTGCTGCAAGAGGCATGTGCACACTCATCTGGTTGTGCCCTGAATGTCAGTTCCTAACAAGTATTTAGCACCACAACTCCCATGGATTTCAGTAAGTGGTAGGAACTTAGATAAAGTTGAGGGTCAGCAGGGGCGGGTCCAGGAAGGATGCACTGGTGCACTTGCACTCCCTTTGATTCCTGCTCCACCAAAGTTTAGAACCAGCTGCCTAGCAGTAGCAGCACCATTTCTAGTGCAGCAGTGCTGAGTCAATTGACTTCATGGCTGATTATAATCTACCTGGCCCCTTCTAAACTTTTCATCCCACAGGTGTTAATGACCCTTCTTTTTAATGGTCTTGATGTTCAACTGTTCGAGTTATCATTTGTTCTACAATTCTGCTGTCTGTTAGCTGTTTCTGGTAATGAAGCTCCTATTTCACAGACCTACAGACTGTTTTTAACTCATTGCAATGAAGTTATATATATTTTTTTGCTTCAATTTAAACTAAATGATACAATCTTAGGCTCCGAGCATATTAGTAAAGGTTCTACTTTATAACTGGAGAAAAATAAGTATTGTTTTATGTGTGACGGTGCACCTCCCCATCTGCACCCCCTTTTTCAAAATTCTAAATCTGCCCATGAGGGTCAGCCACTTATTTTCTAAGATATGGGACTAAACATCCAGGTGGAGGGGTCAGTTCTTTCACGTTACTGAAACAGACCAAGTTGATTAGTGAATGAGCATGGCAGCTACTGGCTGTTACCATTATGGGGATTCCAAGAGGTATGCAAGTGTGTCACTGTAGTGGAAATTAATGAAAATATATACTTTGCTACTTGAAAGAAGTGCTCGGAGAAAATGAGTAGTCCAAATAATGCCACCTCCCTGCTGTTAGTGAAAAAATTACCTTGTGGATAGAGCACTGGCCTAGGACTAGAGAGACCTGGGATTTTGTCTTGTTATGGACACTGGGTTACCTTGGTAATCTTAGACAAATTATATAATCTCTGTGTGCCTCAGTTTCCCTATCTATATATTATATGGATATGATGATGCTGATTGCCTTTAGGAGATGCTTTGAGATGTATTAATGAAAATGTAGTAATAATATAATAAGAGTTAGGTGGTGGCGGTAGTAGTGGTAGTCCATCATAGTAGTAGTAATAACAATAGTAATCATTGTATTATTGTTGTTATTGTTCAGCAAGGAAAACATACACTCACTGTGTCTACATAAATGCTACTGTGCAGTAGCAATGAACTACTGTGCAGTAGTGTTGGGGGGCACTAACCATGACTCAACGCTACTACACATTAATAATGAGCTACTGCACAGCAGCATCAGAAAAAAACCTGTGCAGGACCTTACTGCGCAGTAACATTGGTTACTCTTATGTAGATGTGGCCACTGAGTTGGAATTGAAGATATTGTGGTGTGCACAAGGGGACGCCAACCTGTAGCATGAGTGCCAAAAGTGGCACAGGCAGCCTTTGTATGGCATGCAGCAGCTCTAGGACGGGACAGAAAGCACAGATGCCAATAGGAAAGGAAGCAGAAGATGGAGCAGGAACTTTGGCAGGAATACAGAATAGGGAGCAGAAATCAGACCAGCAGACTGGCCAGAGGAAGAGGATCGGAGTGGCACTTGGGGAGAGTGCAGGGTTAATCTGTGGCACGCCAGCTGAAAAGGTTTGCCCCCATTGCAGTCTGGCAGGGTGAGGAGATGCCCCACGCCCACGGAGAGCCAATGGGGCTCGGCGCCCAGGGATATGAAGAGGACGATGCCCAGGGAGAGTTGCCTTCAGGCACCACCAGAGAAGAGAGGAGCTGCTGGCGACTCTTGCAAAGAAGGATCCGAAGGAGGGGTCCTCAGTGCAAGGCCAACGTGGGCCAAGGGACTCCAGAGCCCAGGACCAGCAGCCCACCCCCGCTATCTACCAGGAGCACATGGCAGTGGCGGTGAGTCTGGGGAGAACAGAGCCGCTGCATGGGGGAGAAGCTGCGGCTTCATACAGGGACGTGGTGAGGCAACTCGGAAGCCAAAGGGGGTGGGGGTCACCAGCCCAGACCCCTGAAGAGACCTGGCCCAGCACCCAGAACTCAAGGGGAGAGGGAAGCTGGGGCAGAGGTCTGTGGACCTGACTGCGGGTGAACTCCCAGATCTGCACGCCAGCACAGCGCCCTGCAAAAGAGACTGGGCGTCGCCCGTAACAAGCCACTAATGAGGTAATTAGCGGCAGGGGGCTGAGACATGAGAAAAGAAAGAAAACTCTTTTTTTTCCCTTTTACTTTCTCTTTATTATTGGAAGTGGGAAAGGACTATGAGTGCCAGGGGTTACAGCAAGTAACCTGGATAAGAAGGAGCCCGGAGACACCCTACACAGGGCGGGGGACTCAAACGGGACCCTACAGAGACTGATTGAGGACACAGCCACAAGCTGGCGAGACGCCTATTGACACTTACTGTACCAATTGAGGTGCCGGGATCCTCTTTGGAGCACAGGGGTGATCCCAGGAACAACTCTGATGAGCTGCTGCCTCCCACCTGGTTCCCTGTAAAAGAAAGAATAAAAAAGCACCTAGATTGTGAAATAGACCAAGCGTGGTCCTTCTGTGGGTACTAATCATTGCAACATCTCTTCCCTCCCCTTTTCTTCAATAAGATCGAAGTCATGGCAGGCAAGAACCAGGGGATTGGGCGGTACCCTGCATGGACACGCTAACATACTGGATATTTTTTAAGTGGGTTGACATAGTGTGGGAATGAGATACAGGGGCAGTGTAAAACCTAGATTTTGGATATGCCTTTGATGCCATTAAATTTTATTTATTTCAGGGTCTACCAGTGCTGAGACATACCGTCTTTAGGGTTTTTGATTCTGGGACAGTCCTCTCATTTTCCAAATGTAAGTAGTCCTATGTGTAATTTCCTTTATGTATAATATTCAACCTGCTTTCAATGGAAGGCAACAATTTCAATGCAAATCTGTGGAAAGCTTCCCTAATAGGCTGCACGCTTCTTTCTCATAAATTGTGCCTTGAAAAGACCATAGGGGAACACTAAAAGAACTGTTAAAGGAGACTTTTGCAAGTGATTTTACATGAAACAGTGTTCGTGCACAAACTCCTTGTGCCTGCTAAAACCACAGGACAGCGTCATCACTGAAAACCATAGTATACAATGAGGAAGTAAAAGGTTGTTTTAAACTGAATGCAAAATATCTAGTCTTTTTTCATTCTCATTTTGATTTCTAACTGCTGTGTTCCAACACCGGCATTATAAAATTAGGTGTATTCCCTATGTCTCGGCTTTCTCTTTCAAAATATTTTGATGGCCATTTCTTTATTAATATTTTGAGCTTACCAACAGAACTTTTTTGTCTTTTTCAAACCGGAAATTACAAAGTTTAGACTTCACAGTGATATTGCCTACAAAAGTAAGTGCTTTGTATATATTCTCTACTAGATTTATATATAAGGTGGTACTGTTACTAGCATAATGTTATATATAAATGATTTGGGGGAATAAGATAGTAAAGAAATTGTAGAGGAAGCATGAAGTAATTTAACTTTCTCACAGAAATGTTTGTTTTACTAGCAGAACAATATCTTGGCTCTTTTCATCAATAAAGGCAGTCTTGCATTACAGTACACAATGTTTCACCAAATCTTGACCCAGCAAAACCTGATTCATTGGCTATTCCACCAGAAAGAGATAAGTAAAGAGGCTGCTGTCTTGATCAGGATCTAAATTTCTGATACTGTCTCAGTAACAGAGACCAGGGAACAAAACTATATAATTTTGCTAGAAGAGACCATAATAGGTCCAAAATTATTTAAACACTCCAACAGCAAATCCAGTTGTGAACAATATTCACGTAATTGTCTCAGTGTGAGACCTGTTTCCATGTACTAATAAATATTGCTTACATGAATGTGAGGCTAAATCAAATAGCATATTCATAAAAAGCAATGAAGAAAAAATAAAAGAATGTGTTGCAGAACCTTATAAGAGTAAATACATAGTCCTGTTTGTATGAGACCTAAATTTTAACCCTTTTTCCATTCCTTATAGGAAATAGAAATAGGACAGAAGTAGGAAAAGTTCAAACACATTCCTACTGCATTGTTCTTAATGCAATGCATAACTATTTAGAAGGCAGCTATCTGTGATGTACACGAGTGTTGTGAGTTGTTCCTTGGAGGTGAAATGTAACGTATCAAGTTTTTAATGCAGTAGGGCCTGATTCAAAATATAAGTTATTAATAAATAATATTCCTATGAAATACCAGGACCCCTGAGTTTCCAAGATGCTGAGCAGACAACAGGACAAAGGTTCCTTATAGCTATAGCCTGCAGCACTCTGAACCTTGGCTAGCTTGGGAACTGAGACCAGGAAAAATAGCATAGATATTTATTGTAATGGTGAATAAGGACCCAACAAAAATCGGGGTTTGTTTCATAACTAGAGTAGAAAATAGTTTTGCCTGAAGAGCTTGAGTCTAAATCAGGGGGACAAAATGGTGGGTCTGGATGACGGCCAGACTCCATTTCCTAGCAGCCCCTGATTGCACTGCTGCAGCCAGTTTCCATGGAGACCCCAGTAGTGGTGGTGCGGTGACAGCATGGGGCCAGGTTTTCCATGGAGAATGGCCCTAGCAGCACTGGCAGGGCATGTAGCTGGGCAGGGAGTTGCTCCAGGGTCAGAGCTGGGATCTTGCAGTGGTGACAGTGTGGTCTGGAGCTGGGGCAGAGCTGTGATCCACAGTCTGCATGTCTCTGCCCAGGGTGGAGCACAGCTGGGCAGGGTACAGCTCCCCACCCAGCTACATGCCTTTCCAGCACTACTGGGACCAGTCTCCATGGCCCCACACTGCCACAGCCCCACTGCTTCTGGGGTCTCTGTGGAAACCAGCTGCTGTGATGTAGGCAGGGGCTGCTGGGAAATTGAGTCCTTCATGGGCCCAATCTAGCCCATGGACCAGATTTTGCCCACCCCTGGTCTAAATGGACAAAATACCCATGATGTTGGGGTACAAGTAGAACACAGAAGCTGAGTAAACAGTGTGATGGCCACAAATGTGATGGTAGCCCTACAATAATTTCTACTCCCATCGCCAGTTTTTGGAAGCCAGGGGAAGGCATAAGGAAGGAAATAGCCAAATGGAAAGAAATTTCAAGGGGGAAGACCGAAGGACAGAACATGAGTAAAAGCGGTAGGCGTGGATTGAAGATGAGGTGAAGAAACTTGGAGGATGGGAAATGATTGGCACACAATCTAATCTCATTATCTTCCAGAAGGCCACATCTGTAGGGCCTGGTCATTTCACAGAGATCATCTAGCAGCTCACTTTTACCTTAAAAGTAAGGGTTACCATGAATGCATTTATTTTTAATAGTGTTCATAGCTGTACATTTAATAACATACTGTAATTTAATGCCCACTTTCCCTTTATATATTTCATACGTCAAGGACAATTACGACAAAGGCCTATGTAGGAGTTTAAAGGCCTGCAGGGTACCTCCTATTTCCTCTTTGGGCATGTCTACATGAGATGTTTACTGCTCAGTTGCCTAATTAACTTCCCAGTAAACATGTCAGTGTCTACATGCATGCCCGTATTAGAGGACACAAAACTAATAAACTACCCTGCTGTGGAGTTTTTTCGGGCACAGTATCATTATGTGTAGATTCTGAGTTGGTTGGCTGGGGCATAAGGGTGCTTCAGTGCAGGGACCTCCCCCACTGCCCGCTCCGAGGCACGCCTGCATGTGCTGGTGTGGAGTTGATGCTGGAGCCCGGCACAGCTGTTTGGAGCCTCCCGGCTGCATCCGGCCCTTGCTCTGGGGAGCCGCTGTCAGCTGGGAGATGCTGCAAGGCTTGTTGGGAGCAGCCCGGGCTCCGTCACTGGCAGCAGCTACCCAGAGCCAGGACTGGCCACAGTGTGCCAAGCAAAATGGCCTTGCATGCCACGCTTGGCACACGTGCCAGGGGTTGCTGACCCCTGTTATAAGCAATCGCTTTATAAACCTTGTAAGCAATTCCTTATAATCAATAAGCACCACAGTTTATTGCTGCCTGTTAATGGCATGTGTAGACATGCCCTTTGTGGTCTAGTTTGTATCGGGGATCAGGGCTCATCAGAGATAGAAATCTCTACAGAGCTACTGCTGCAGGGAAGGGTTTTGATGGTATTTGTGTGTGTGTGTGTGTGTGTGGGTGTGTGTGTGTGAGAGAGAGAGAGAGGGGGGCAGGGAGGAAAAATTATTTCCTCTGGCCGTATGTTTGGGGTAGACTATTTCACATACCCAAAGAAGGTGAAAGATTGTATGGGGAGATTGCAACCCATACTGGTGACTGTGGCTGCTACTGAGCCACTATTCAGACTGTAGTCGGAGCATGGGCTAACACAGCTACATGTTGCCCATTACTACACAGGAGAAACTTCAGTCTAGTCTTCTAACAAATGAATGCTTTCAGATTCCCTGTGCAGTAGTGTACTCTGTTTATTTTGCAGATGGAGAAAATGAGATGCCAAGGCTCAAATATTTAAAGGTGGCTCTGATTTTTTCAACCAGACACAACCTGCAAAGAATGTCACCCCCAAATTAGCACTTCCTAGGCCTGTGAATGGTGGAAGCTGTAAGGGAAGAGGTGAAGGAGACAGATCAGTTTGGATAGGCCCTACATAAATATTCTCTCCTTTTCGTATCTGCTCAGTGCCACTATGAGATCAAGAATACTGGGCTAGATGGACCTGTGGTCTGGCCCACTGGAATTTGTTTTTATATTTTAGTTACCATTGTTGTATTAAATGTAAGCAGTGGTGTTGAATAGAATAAGTTATTTTAATGTAAGTATTAAAGGGAAATGTTGGGTATAAAAAGTAAGCAAAATTGAAAGAATCTAACATTTTGAGTTCCAATAAGTGTGTGTGTTTTAGGAATGATGAGGGAGATTTTCAAAGCCATAAGTGGCAGGAGGCCTCCTACTAGGCCTGTGTGAAGCAGCAAGTATTTGATTCAGATTTGGCCAATTCAGAGGGACAGTGATTTGATTCAGTGATTTGAATCACTGTTCCAGTTTGATTCAGCTGATTTTGGATCAGCGGCAGCTCTGGAAGTGGGGGCTCTGCTCTCCCGGTGCTTGTCCAGCTGGGGCGGGGGAGTGTGGGATGTGGGTGTGGCAGTGCTGGGAGTGGGGACTCTGTCCTGCCACTGCTTGTCCAGCTGGGCCGGGGGGTATGCAATACACGTGCAGCGTCATTGGGAGCGGGGGCTCTGCCCTGCCGCCACTTGTCCAACTGGGGCGGGGAGGTGGGGGATGCGGGTGCAGCAGCGCTAGGAGCAGGGGCTATGCCCTGCTGTGCTTGCCCAGCGGGGGGCGGGAGGGGGGTGTGATGCAAGCATGGCTTGCTCTGGGCGGAAGGCACGAGGAGCAGGGGTTCTGCTCCCCTGCCACTTGCCCAGCTGGGGAAGTGAGGTACGGGACAGTGCCACTGCACTGCCTCAGTCAAGTTGCATGCAGTGCTGGAAGCTGCTCCAGCCACTCCATGCCTCCCAGACAAGCTGCAGCTTCATCCCAGCTGGGCGAGTAGTGGCAGGGAATAGGGGCAGGCGCATGCACCTGGGCTGGGGTGCGGCTGGCAGCAGGGGCTGCAGCCCCTCCATAGCCCCCACTGCACTGTGCTCTGCGTGGCAGGTGGAGCCAGGGCTGTGCTCTGGGCTGCAGCTGGGGTTAGCCACCCAGAGCACAGCCCTGGCTCCATCTGCCCCACAGAGCACAGCCCAGCAGCGGGGTTCTAGGGTTAGCCTCCCAAAGCGCCCTAGAAACGCCTTAATCCCACGCCCCCCCGCCCTGGCTGGGCAGCTTGTCCCAGCCCCAATCCCTCCCTCACTGTGGGGGCATTGATTTTTGCCCCCCACTATGTCCCTTCCCTCCCCCCTCTGCCTACCGCAACAAGCTTACCAGCTGGAAGCAGCTGTGTCCAGTGTGGTCGAGGACTGCTGCCTGTTTAGTCCACGACTGAATCTCCAAATCGGTGCCGAATCTCTCTCTGAATCGATTCAGAGGCTTCCAATTTGATTCGGACCTTTTAATGGGTCTCCCAGTTTGATTCGGATTCAGAGGTTTGGCTGCCAAATCTCCTCCGAGTCGAATTGGCTACCGAAGCTTCACACTGCCCTACCTCCTGTTGTGGATTTCAATCACAGCCTCCTTCCTTTTCCCTTTGTGCCAGGTTTTTTCCCTTTCTCTCTCTCTCTCTTTCAAACTTGATTCTTCACCTTTCTATCCTTCTAGTGGCTAAGCAGCATAATGAAGTAAGTGAAGTGACCTGTGTGCCTGGCTTCACAGGCATGGGTGGGGGTTTAAACTCCCTATTGTTCTAAGTAATGACATCATGAATGGGAGGGGGGGTAGAGACCCTGCCAGTCTACCTGGCAACCAGTGATGCATTTCAAATTGGTTGGCTGGCAGCCAACAACCGCTGGCCTTCGTTGGATCAGGTAAATGAGTTCATAAGGCCATAAGTTAAAAACTCCCCAGGAGGAGAGGTGGCAGCCATGATGAAGACACTGAGAGCAGATGAACTTTGGCAGCTGTCTCTGTCTCTGTCTCTTGAAATGCATGGACACACTACAAACTGCCTGCCTCCAGAGTAAAGTTCTGTCAGCCTCTGGATGATACTTGTGAGTAAGCTACTTGAGATCTAACTAGATATATAGCTTGCAGTTACTCAGATGCATGATCAAAAGCTACCATGCCACTGTTGGCTCTGAGGGTTATTCTTTGATACTGCTCTACCCTCTACCGTATTCCAAACCTACTCCTTGTAATCCGTAACTTTCTCCTTTGTACCTAGTGTGGGAGACTTACTGGGAACAGGTCTAGATTATGCCTTAGGGTCCCCTTGAGGTCTCCCTTGATTATGCTTAAAGGAGACTGCTATTTGTGCTTCAGACTAAGGGAAGCACCCCAAATTCTTGCAGTGGGTTGAGTACCCTCTAGGACTACCAGGCCTGTGTACCCCAGGGGGCACAGGGCCTAGAAACAATCCAGACCCTGGGTGGTGGCAGTGTCACCCCCCAGGCTTGTGGCTGTGCTCCAGGAAGGGGGCTGCCTAGATGTGAGGTGCCCCCAGGGAGGCACTCGGAGCCTGGAAGGTGGTTGGGTGCAGTGAGCTGGGTGGCTTAGTGCAGGAGCATCCCTTACTGGCCTACCACACCACCTACCTTGAAATCAGCTGGAGTTAGGTACCTGACACTGAGGCATTTGAAAGTGTCCTTTTATATTGCGTACATTTTTTCCTTTCAATTCATTTCCTCTGTCAAGTAGATCATTGTCTATTTTAGAGGAAAAAATGAATGGCTCCATCTTCTAATTATTTTATTTTTCCTGCTCCATTTCTTCAGCAAACATTAGTTTTTTAATTGTTGTGGCAAAATACATTCCCTCTGGCATTTTGTTGTGAAGTTTGTGTTTTTTCTTTTGCAAGGCTCATGTGTGGAAAATATCTAATCAGAATTTCTCTATAGTGTGTGCTCTCTCTCTCTCAGCATATTTTAAAAATAAACTATCAAAGGCTGTACACATGTTCTTAACACACTGTATGTTTACTGGAACCCAAGAGAGAGATGCTGGGTCAGCTATGTGATACGAAGATACTAAAGGCATCAAAGCAGGAATGTGACATCAGAGGTTTTCCATGTTCTGTGTGCAGTAGTATTTGCTGCGGTGCCGTCACCTATGAATTATTCCATACCCCTGTGCTCACAGAGGTGAGCGTTTAAAAAGGGGAGCTCTTCTTCCCTTTAAATATACTGTTCCGCTTCTTGGTCTGAAACTTAAAAGATATTTTTTAATAAGAAGGAAATGTGTTTCCCTTCTGTAGTAAAGAATCATTTGTAGTACCTGGGTTAGACTATTTTTCCATCACATCTGGTATTCTGCTCCACCTCACTGGGGGTCAAGAGATGACAATTCAGAGGAAGCCCTTACCTTTACATTGCACCTTATTTAGTCCTGCAGTGCTGTTTTCATTCCTAGCCCTTTTCTGTTTGCAATGTACAGTTGCTGAACTTTGCATGATGCAGCTATGGTACCGCAGTACAAAAAATAAACAATAATGATTATGTATGGCTGACAGCAAAGATAATTGTAGTTCCTTTTTGACTCCTGCAGATGACTAGCTTGTATGCTGAAGCACAAGATTATATTGCCCATATTTTTTAGGTAATTACAGAGTTATCCAATCTCTTCTAAATTCAGTTACCACATGCAACTCTGATTTCCTGCCAGAGTATATGTAAATGTATGCTATCTTTATTTTAATAAGGTATTCCCTTCTTTATGTGTTATAAAACAGCATAAAGAAAGATGAGCTGTTTTTTAATTATCCCTCAATTTTTAAAATACTGTTAAGCATCTTCTAACTTTTTAATCTTGCCAGGCTAAACTAACAGCTTTCCCAGACTGTCATACTCCTTTTGCTTTTCCTCCTTCCTCCAAAGAAAGTTGTAAATTTTTTTTTAATGTCAAGCACTTGAGAGTTAGGAAATCTGCCAATTAAAGGCTGTTTTGACCTTTTTCCCTTTTGTGTGATAGCATTATGATACAAATTTAACCTCATCTAATATTCTCTGATAGTGCAGTCACTAGGGCTAGGGACAGACATTGAAAAAGCCTAAGCCTGAATAGATTCAATCTTTGCAAATTAGTTTAACCTGGCTGGGCTGAACTGGTTTCTAACTGGACAGACATTCTCTCTGAACTGAGGAAATTCAGGCACATGCCTCCAGTGGCTCAGGTTAGAAGCTGAGGGATCCTAGAGCAGCCTTTCCTTCCCTTTCACAGTGCTGAGCTGAGGGGGGGGGGGGGACCAGACCCCAGCAGGATGTCCTGATTAGGGAAGTCTGCCTGCACCATCCCAGACTTTTCCCCACTCGCTGCTCAAGGAGCAGGAGTGTTGCCAGACCTCAGACCCCTGCTAGCACTCTGAGGCAAGGGGAGAGGGTGCAGTGCATGCATCTTTCAATCGCTTTCCCTGCTTCTTTATACTGTCTGCAGCAAACTGACAGGTGAGCGAGCCAGCAGTGGGGTGATAAGTGTTTATCCCCTGATCAGCAAAACAATAGTCTCTCTCCATTACTTCAAACTCCTCTTAAACAGCTTACCAACTGATCTGTTGCTTAGCTCCAAACAGCTCTAAGCGGTCACTGTTCTGTCTGCCTGTCCCAGTGAAATTGGGGAGAGACACATCTGTATTAGCTAGCATACCACATGCCTAGGATCCATGAGGCTGGGGTCCCTGGTGTGGGAGATGGGGGGAGGGAGATTTCCTGCTTGAACAGAGAGCAGTGAGGGGAGGGCAGGGGGAAGCCAGGCCAACTATGCTGTGCCTGCAAGTCTCTGCTGGAGATCCAGCCAGGGAGCAGAGGGGAGGGGCAGCCCTGGTGTGGAGCAGAGAGCCCCGCCCAGCCCAGAGAGGATGCTGGGGGAGTCTGGTTTATTTTAAACCAGCAAGGGGTCTGGGACATACATTGCATAAACTGGTTTGAGCCAAATCAGTTAAGTCTGATGCTACATTCAACCAGATTAATCTCAAACCAGTTTCAGGCATTTTCAAACTGGTTTATGTGCACTGAACATCTGTTCTGTTATAGGTTTAAACCAGTTTCTGATCAATTAAACCGGTTTATGTGTAATGTCTGTCCCTAGCTGAGAAGAACAGAAGTGGGACAAATTGGTTGAAGGAGTTCACAAATACTTGCTGACAGCAGAGACATTTAGAGACTTGAGTAGTCCTGGAATCAATTCCAGAGGGTGGAGGAGACTGTCCCTATCCTCCCTGCACCTCTTCCAAATTCATTGTGGCTGCTGCTGCTCTCTTACACTGTTCCCATCTATTTTGAAAATCGTATCTGCATTCTGTATGTTGTCAAACTATTATGACGAATTGTTATGGGGGAAGCAACAGTGGTTTGGAAGGGAAATAACCTTAAAGTCTGCCTTTTTAAAAATTTCCTTTTGAAATGCATGCAGTCTAAGCTATCTAACATGTTCCTGATTTATTCATTTCAATCAGTTAAGTCATCTGACCCCAGCAATCTTTCCTGCCCAAGTGCAGGGGGCTGGACCTGATGATCTGTAAGGTCCTTTCCCACCCCTAACATCTATCTATAAGTTCTGACTGTTTTTATGATTTGTACCTGCTCATGTCTCAAATCACAGGATTTTTTTTGTCTGAGTTAAAATAGGCTTTTGCCAATCTAATTCAGATGAAGCAGAACTGACTGGAGTTAAGAGATTCTTGTATACTGTAGTGGTTTTATTTTATGTTTTGATGATAAAAAGAAAGGAGGAGAAAAACCTGATTAACTTTATTTTTCTTTTAAAGTTGCTTCAATATATTTATTCTGCAGCATGTTTAAAAGTGGGTCATGCACAAACGCTCCAAAGGATCCTGAAAGAACTCATTTCACTGGATACCGATTTCCTCTTTAGGATGCATTTTGGTTCTACCATGGTTTATAATTTTTTTCCATTCAATTTTCTAGGAGTGAAAAATAATACAATGGAGCCAGACTTTCTTAATGCTTTTGCACAGCCCACTGCATTTAATCAATTGCCATTTGAGAATGACATTGTTCAAGGTATGTGTTTTATGAACCAGGACTAAAGAAACAGAGGTGGGACCCAGTGAATCAGACATAAAAGTCCTCTGTACAAATGAATTTCATGTGTTTTTCAGCAGTATTCCCAGGTTTAATCAAGTGAAAGTAAACCTCTTATACGTAATTTGGTTTCCAGCTCTCCTGAGGCAGGTCATGAAGAAGCAATGCAAGTTTTGGCAAATCCTTTAACTAAGGCTTATATTTTATGCACAGCAATCAAGCCAAATGTGGCTTTTCTCTTTATTTTTAGAAAGTATGACTTAGGTCTCATTGATTTGAATTCCCTGAAAAGATGATGTATAATGGCAGTTGTAATGATCTGATATGCCATTTTCTTCCTCAGAGGGAATCTGTTAACATTACAAATGACTGCACTTTTTCATGTTGCAATCAGTGAAATGGGGTAATATCAAACTGATGGCATTTGGTATAGAAAAACTGCATTAGTCACAGCAGATGAATATAATGAATACATTTTTGTTCTATTTATAGGAGAAAAGAAAAAAGTCATAAAACCAACCTCACGCAATGACCCGAAACTGGAAGGACTACAAGTGGTACCATGTCTTTTATTCCTTACCTATAAATCCTTGCTGTTTTTACATTCTATAGACCTGTGTTTTACAAATCTATGAACACATGTGTCTGTTTCTATATTATATTTTTCTTAAAGTAATCTTTGCACGAAGATTTTTTTACAATATTTGAAGGTGGTATAGAGGAAGGATTCATATACCCTATAAGAGACATTGAACTCATCCTTGCCAAATTGCCAAAATAAAGGATTTCTTAAGTGTTTGAAGATTTTTATGAGCTTCACTGTTTAACCTGTTTTCTAGGGGTGTGTGAAGCAAGCCATATTTGATCGCACTTGGATTCGTCCTGAATCGGGGACAGTGATTCAATTCATTGATCCAGATCGCTGTCCCTGATCCAATTCAGCTGAATCCACATCTGAAGGTTTGATGCTGATTTGGAGAATCAGTGATTTTGGCTGTAGACACAGCTTTAAATGTTTTTTTCTATATACCTTGAGGTACCAGGCATGGCTTGTGAATGCTGCAATGCTGGGACAGATGGAGCATCCTACAGGATTGTGGGGAGCCCCCCCATGTGCTCGGAAGTGGACCGGAAGTAATTCCGGTCCACTTCCATGTCCACCGGGGAGCACACTGGGGGGTCCCCCCATTCCCCTCCCCAGCTAAGTGATCGGCCACAGAGGGACCCCAGGTGCTCCCCAGACCCAGGAGGCACCAGTTGCCAAGCCGGGGAGTTGCAGGGGGGTCCCCCAGTGTGCTCCCTGGCGGATCTGGAAGTGGACTGGAAGTGCTTCTGGGCCTGCTGCTGTGTGTGCTGGGGAAACCCCGCACTCCTATGGGATGCTCCATGCGACCCAGCATGGCAGCATTCATGAGCCACCTGCTACCTTGAGGTATGTAGAAAAAACATTTAAAGCTGTGTCTATCTCTGAATCGCTCTGAATTGATTCAGAGGGTTCCGATTCGATTCAGAGAGATTAACGAGTCTCCTGATTCAATTCAGATTCGGAGATTCGGCCACCAAATCCGGCCAAATCTCTGCCGAGTCAAATCGGGGACCGAAGCTTCACACAGCCCTACTATTTTCTCTTACAGAAGTTTAAACTGCAGATGTGACTGATTTATCTGTTTTCCTTCTGTCTGGGGAAGAGGGATTGTTTTGCATTGCTCATCAGTGCTGCCATCTGGCACATCAAGGAGTAGCAAGGATTGTCCTTGTTCAGAAAGGTCATAGCTCTGACCCTTTAAGGAAGAGATTTAAAAAAAAAAAAAAAAAAGAGAGAGATGGGGTTATTGTCCCAGCCTGCCTTAGAGAAGCAAAGAAACACACTTGGGGGAAATATTTAGTTTCCTGATACCACTGGATGTTGTTATCAGGGTGGCTTTTGAAGCATCAAAATGGGTCACTTCAGTTGCCATGAATATTAAACTACAGGTAAAACACAGTTTGAGGATAACACATCTATTTATTCCTCTTCCTTTCCCCTCCCTGTTCTTTCTGCCTCAATTTTCAGATATGCTTCTTTTGTTCTGTTGCCCAGCAAGACTCAAGTAGCTGGAGGTAAAGCAGAGTTACCTGAGTTTGTAGGCTGGGGAGATGGCTGTTAAAAGAATCTTTTAAGGCAGGTGAATAAGGGAGCTCATAACTTTTGACTCAGCAATGCAGTTCATCTGTTTATGCCACTGCTCTAGGCTTCTTAGCCTGAACTGCAGAAGTTTGATGCATCATCAAATCTTAGAGTTTAAGTATTAGTTGAAGATGGCAGGTTTCCAGTCTGGGAAAATTCTGGTTCTCTTGATTTTTAATATTATGTACACTTTCAGAGCTTGTCAGTACTGAACAGCATTTATTTGTTAGTTTCTTTGAAGGTTTTAGGCATCTCAGAGCTTTTTTTTATTATGATTATTCTTTTTGATGCTGTTCTTTGAGTAATAAAACTTTAAAGTAGTGATATATAATAGTTTGTAGAAAGGTTTAATAAAATAAAAATAATAGTTCATTCAAGATTGCTTTCATTTCTGTGCAAAGAACCAGTACAAGGCTAATATACCACCTATGTTCTCAGAGAATAGGTTTTCATTTGGACGGGTATGAGTATGGACCATGGAACCAGGGAATCCTCAGAGCTAAGAGCAAGAGAAATTATAGCTTAATTTACAGCTAAAGAATCAAAGCTCATCAATGTAACATCTTATATTTCTGCAGGTTGAGCACCGAGGGGGAGGAGGTCTATTACATACATACCTAAGGTTCCTTGATCCACAAAAATAAGAGAGTTCCTTTTCAGTTCAGAGCCTTGGGTCTTTAGCTCAGCCTATAATTACTATTGCTTTTAGCAAATGGGTCAGTGTGGGGCCCTAGTTCTGTGCTCCATGTACATTTTTGCCTTTCTACATAGACAGGATAGCATTCCATCATCTGAGCATTAAATATTATGAAACACTGAAATGCATCCTAGCCACCAGAGAGAGAGCACCCACCATTTAAGATGTCATTTTCACCCACAAAAGGAGATGCATTATATTAATATGTATCTGCTAAATAGATTGGCATCATCAGAAAAGGCACCAAAAGGGGGCATGCTGAGAAGCAGTGAGTACATGTGATACTTACATGATACAACTCTTAATAGGGAAGGTTGGAAACTGCTACTTTCTCCTTTGATGTAAACAAATATTCTAATATTATAAAAGCCTAAGCCTGCCTGCCTGTCTGGCTGTGATGCTTTATTTGCACTCTGATTGGCTGACAGAAACAGCAATTGGAGTGCTCCTAGCATAGGGGAGCACAGCTATGCTTCCAAAGCTGCAACAAGGACTGGACAGAGGGTAGGGGAGCCGAAGCCAGCAGCGCTGGCCTTGTCTCCCCCCAGCCCGCTCCCTGCAAGAGGCAGAACAGCTGCAGCGTTAAGTGGCAGCACTCCATCCCAGCTAACCCCCACCCCCGGTCATACTTGACGGGCAATTGGCTAGTTAATTCAATAACAACTGTGTGTAAGCACAAATGGTGTTTAATGATGAAGGTAGTTTATACAGCAACCAACAAGGGAAATACAATGCTTATAAGCACAGACTTTGATTCTGTAAGGGTATGCCTCAGTTGACGGATCCCCTGGAGGATCAGAGCATAATTTAAGATAGGGTAGGCAATTTATTTGGGCTGGAATAAGCTCCAGAGCTTATTTACATGCATTAATATGCACACATAGATGCACCCACTATATAGCAGAGTATATTATCCACAAAACACACTCAATCTACCTTTTTATAATGAAAATAATCATTTTGCTTAAGCTATTTTGTGTAGTTTGCTATTTGCAGCTAGCTGTGGTTAGAGGCTTTTAGCACCACTTTACCCCACCAGTGTCTTGGATCTGATTATTAACACACAAGAGAGCTTTATTGTTACTCCTTACTTTAAGATTTTATAGCCGTAGAGTGTTTCAAACAAAACGTTGTAATGGCAGTCTACCAGTAACTTTGGATTGGTCTTCCCACTGCATCATTCATGCTTGAGACTAATATTTATGCAGACTGTTAAGAGGCTGCACTGGAATTTAATTCCTAGATAACACTCTAGGCAATGTTATCCCTTTGCTGTTGTGTGTTAGATATTGTCAGCAAAGACTAAAAGACAGGCATGGACATGATTCTGGGTACTGAGGCTCAGCTCCTAGATTTAGAGTCCAGGATAATTAATCCTAGTCTGTTGTCCTTTGCAGCGGGCTCTCTGGATAAAAAAAATTGCTGAGTGAAATTAATTTGAAATATTTGATTTCTAACCCCAAGAGACCCCACACATTAAGCACTGGCTGAAAAGGAACAGTGATATGCACAGAAACACACTGCCTTTTTTCAGTCAGCTCATGAATTCCTGATCCATTTCTTCTCTTCTGGTAAAAGAAGGAAGAATCATGAAAGCAGAAATAGGAAATTGTGAGGTTACCTCAAAATGTCACAGAAGGAATGGGTGGGTTATAGATTATGGAGCTGGACAGTGAACAGAGATAGAAAAGGGAAATAGTGTGGGAACTATAAGAGAGAAGACCAGAATATGAACCAGGTAAAATAGGCAGGACAAGAGAAACCAGGAGGAAGATTGACCCTGCTGCTGCTAAAGCATGGCTGTCCATTTTCTTGCATCAGTACCTGCCAACTTT